GGCTGGGGGTTCGAGTCCCACCTCTGCTCTTTGTGTGGAGTTTGCAGGTTCTGGTGTTTGACAGATTACACTTATACCCTGTGCACCTCACATTTTACCCAGTAGGATGTTATTGTGTGGACCTGATGTAGGGAGACATGTAGGGTGTACGGGCTGGGGGGTATTCCCAGAGGTATTGTGACACATGCAGGATGGTCCGGGATCCCCCCCAAGCCGACATGTGCTGGCCCTCACCTTCATCACACCATGGGGTTTTGAGGGACCCTCTGATTCACATGGGCAGTAGACTCCTTGGCCTGTGTTCTGAGCTCCGCTGCCCTCGGATCATGGGCCTTACTGTGCATGACCTCACAGTGCAGTCGGGCCCTGGGGACAACAGGATTTATCTCAGGGGAGGAAAAGCCCAAGGACACTTTGTTATTTAATATCATGTTATATCTCTATAGACTGATGAGAGAATGAGGGTGTCTGATTTCCTCTGTTTGCTTTACAGATGAGCCCACACTGTTTAACATGCTGTTCCTTGCTATTTATTCCCAACTCTTTGCCTGGATGAGCGGCACATTTAAACTAGGTGAGTCTCCCTGCATTTTCATGCTTATTATGTGTGTAAATGGAGGGACAGGGCAACTGGGACACAGCAGAACCAGGTGCAACCACAGACTAGGGGTTCAAGGTCCAAACAAGGACTGCTGGGGAGCTGGGGCTTAAACAGGCAGAGGGGAAATGAGGGAACTATAGGCAGCTGCATTGATAGGAACTGGTGGAACCGTTCTGGCGAGCTCTGAGTGATGCAGGGAGGAGAGACTGTGAGCGCCCTCTGCTGGTTCCCAGAGGTATTGTGACACAGTGGGCAGTACTGTAGCTTCACACTGAGGGGTCGATTCCTGTGAGTGAGACTGAGCCCCGATTGGTCTAAACCCATTAATTCTGACTTATGTGTGGGTCTGGACAGCAGAGGGATTGATGGATAAAAACGCGTTTGTGTTCACAGTGAAAAGCGAGTTTATGACACTGTCTCTTTTATTGTTACTCATAAGTGTGAGCGTTGAGGGTCACGCAGGTTTGGGCAGAATACGATGAATAAGTATGTAGTGTCTGAATGCTGAATAAACAGTCCTGATTGTATTCAGTATTATATTCTGGTAAGATACTCAAAACGTACCTTATTCAGAATACCTTTAGACACTGTTATACTGTACTGTATGTTGTAATGCCAAGAAGGTCAATTAAACGAGTAATTGTGTACTGGTAATGAACAGCCAAAATAACTTTTGGAGCACGTGAGCATCGACATCCCCAAACCACCACCAGAACGCTTTGCATCCAGGTCAGCCGTTCCATGGTGCAGTGAAACTTCTCCACCAGGCCGTCACTCCAAGGCTGCAAGGGAGTGGTACAGGTCTTGTCTATGCGCAGCCGGCTGCACAGGGAGGCAAACACAGCAGACTCAGAGTTCATCCCCAGTTCACTGTGCATAGTCTCTGGCTCCCTGAACCAGCTAAACAGAACCTCCACCAGGGCATTTGCAACTGTCTCCCCCTCCTGGTCAGGGATGGCATAGGCTTCTGGCCACCGGGTGAAGTAATCCATCCCTGTGAGCAGGTACCTGTTACCCCTGTCAGAACCTAAAACGCCCACCGCTGCTCTTTCCATTGTGACCCCACTGGGAGCAGCTGGAGCTGGGAGAGTGACCTGCCCATAGGGCCCTTCTGTGACGTGCAGAGGTCACAGTGGGGGCTGAAGTCCTCGACCCTAAAGTGGCCAGACCCTGCAGCCTCAATCACACATTACATACAAGAGGCTTGTTTTCTGGGGGACAGCCAGTGTTAAATGATATTCATATTAGGTTACAGCAAGTTATGTGGAGCTATTATATGAATGTGCCTTACTGAATGAATTTAGGTCTATATAATAAGAACATTACAGAGCAGTAAAATATTATGGGTATGAAGCATGTAATTTAAGGTTATTTGTAACCATATATAAAGATAAAAGTGAAGGAGAAATGCTGGATATTAACACACCATAACAAGCCAAAATCAAATACACTTGTTTTGATATCCAAATTTGGCTTTGAAATGTTTCTATGGACACTATTACTGATACCATCCTCTCCATAAACTGTTTATTATTATTTTTTATTAATGACATTATGTGAAACATTAGTTAGCCTAGTCTAACCTATTAGGCGTAACATGAAAGAAACCCAACCTTTAACTCTGTCAGAGCAGCCTGGCCTTCGCTTATATTTAACGTTTCATACAATTATCGTTACTCCAAATGCTATAGAAGGTCGCAGTTTTGTACAGATAATGATCATTGTTTTGTCTTAGTGAATGATATGCAGCCTGTGCCCCCTCCCTCACAATGCTGCAGGGTCACACACACACAACGTGAATTTGAGCCGCTTTCAGTGAAGTTCCTGAGTCGCACATCCTCTGTCATGCTGATACTGAATGATCCAGCTCTCTCACTCACACCCAGCAGACACTATTAATAACACATTACAAATGTATTAATAATGCACTTGGTCCACAATCATTTTCAACTGCTCATTTTTTCTTTATTCAGGTGAATATTTAGCTTCAAATGTTATTTCTAGTTCTTAAAAAAATTACCGAAGTCCGGACTTCGTTGACCTCATATCTGGCTATGACCCTTACTGCGAGTGCTCCCCAGACAACTCACACAAACAAGTAGGCACAGGACAGCACATACATCCAGATAGAAACTGTAACCCAAGGTGGTCGAGTTGTAATCCAATTGA